AAAAAGGGAAGAAGAAAGAGTTGGTGGAAAAGGGCCTGGAAATCATTTTGCTAAGGGACAGAGAAAGTAAGATAGACTCATCTGGAGAAAGGCTGATAATGTTCTAGAAGGAAAAATAATATTTGCAGCAGAATAAGGAACTGAGGTATGAAAGTTTGATTGATGAATAAAAAGAACAAAATTTGTGCTAGAAGACAATGCATAGTTAAGGAAAAAACTGATTTAAAGTGCAGCAGAATGAGAAAACTTTGAGGATGGGCAAAATGCAAAGGATGTCTTGCAACACAAACACATTGTGAGAAAAAAAAAGGATAGGCCTGAGAATTCACAGGAACCGAAAAGGATGAGAAGACTTATAAGAAAATGATGGAGCTGATTTCAGAAGCAGCTAGAAAGATGGCATGTAGAAGCTGGAAATTATTTGGAAGAAAGCAGAAAAGGTACAGCTGAGGCAATTGCTAGCAAATAAAAAGAAATGAAAATGACAAACAAGATACCAGCATGAAAGAGGGAAACGTTGATTAAACTTCCTGTTCTTATCAGGATAGCTTTGGGACAAAAGCACAGAATCATTTGTGAGCAGTTTGGGAACAGGAAGACACGACAGGGACATCACAAGAAAAGACTGGTCAACAGGGAAGATAGTGCAGAACCAGAACATTTTTAGAGGATTTTAGATAATGCAAAAAGGGAGCGATGGTTAAATGGAATGAAGTTGAATGTTCAGGACCTGGGAGGAAAACTACTGGGAGACTGAAAATTGGGAATGTGGGACTTATAAAGGAAAAGAAAAAATAGCAATATAGGCAGGCAAATACATGGTAAGTAACCTGATGAGGAAGAAACAAATCAATGGAAATAAGAAAGTAAATGCGGCAGTAAATGTCATTGTTCTAGTGCTTAGTAAGAGGTCTGGCAACAAAACAGTATATAAAAGTCAAACATTATCTTTGTATGGTACCTTTTTGTGTGGGATGAGGGGGTCTTGGGAAACCGGATTGGGAGCTAGGCATAGGCATCTAGTGAACCTACAATATGTATGGAGAAGAGGATAATCTGCTTTATTATTATTTTAAACAGAAGCAAAGAAAACATTTAAAACCAGTGTCTACACCAGCTCCTAATAACTTAGTATCTGTTTGTATATCTTAAAAATATATTTAAGTATATCTGAGACCCATAACTGAATTATTTATTAGGATAATTTGTTAACATTTTATGGACATTTCAGCAAACTGTAATCTAGTCAGTACTTAAAAGACTCAAACCCAACCCTGAAATACCCTATATTGCTTCTTTTTATAGTCTTGTATTCAAATTTCTTCTTATTATCACTCCCATTTTACGAAAGTCTTTACATGAACTAAAAGTGAATCTAAATGAGTGTTACACAATGAAAATTAGAATAGAACATACTCCCCTTATTGACAAATGCAATTATCTCTTATGCTTAAATTAGTCCTATTCCTTACTCTCAAAAGTGAGGCTTAAAAATACCAACATAAGATATAACTTCAAGTTGACAAGTATCCATTTATTTATAATAAACAGTAGGCAAAATCTCTAGCTTTAATTACGATTTTCTTGCACAATATTTTGTCAAATGCTGAAAATATACTTAGTATTTCAATTATTTCACTTCCCTGCAGAGTACTGCACCTTTCCTACCTTTGTTTGCTTATTTATAGAACTGTATAGCATGCTCAATACAGTAAACTGAAAAATGATTGTGGATAAAAAAGCATACCCCAGGCATGCTTTGATACTGAGACATAGATATATTTTTGAGAGGAATAAGAAAGGCATAAGTATTTGCCTAGTATTTTTTTCCCAGAACCTGAAAGAGATGATATTATATTATTTATTACAGAATAGATTGTATATATAATCATATAATTGTATAGAATATTTCTTCTATGGTGCATACTAGACTATACAAAAATATAATTTACAGATAAAATATAAGGCCGTAATTTAAATTTTCATAATTGCAAGTCTATGGTCTTTGTTGCCCCAAAGCAAAATTCAAAAAAGTATTGGAAAAAAGTTACATAGATTGGAAAGCTTTTGTAGAGTTCTGCAGCTAAAGGACCCCATCTGTACTGAGCATGCTTTATCCCAGTGCTGCAGGAATGAAGCAGTTCTTTCCCTGCAATTCTTTCTCCTCACTCCTGCCAACAACTGCCGTGCTAAATATTGAAATAAGAGCATAATGCTCTCAGTGCTTCCCTCCCTGATATCTAGGCAGACGCACAAGAAGAAACAGAAACGTACTGAAAGCAGTAGGGAATGTGAACTTGACAGGGAGTCAGGGGAAGCAGAGACTACAGACAGATAAGTGTTTTGCAACAGGGAAGGCTGTGAACAGGGATCATCAGTGCAGCTCTCAAAATGACTGGACAAGAGGAGGAAGCAACAAGGAGGGTCAGACAGAGCTGAGAGACTGGGGATCACTGAGGGCAAAAGAGCTTGTAATTAAAGAAATAATCAGAGTGACATGAAACTGAGTTCAGAACAGAACGCAGGAAGAATGTGTAGTTTGGAAGAACGAAACACAATGCAACGTAGAGCAAGGAAAGAGAGGTTAGCAATTGACAAAAGGTGGAATTGGAGGGAGGAGGAAGAACCTAGGAGGAACTGGGATAGAGACACAGGGATACATGCAAATGGAGACAAAGAAAAATGGGAGTTTATGGCAAAAGGAAATCCTCCTTCCTGTATTGGAAGTGAACACTAAGAATCTTGACACATAGCGTGACTTGTCTGCCATTAAACTGTTTCTTGAACTATTTCTGAAGCCTGTCACCCTATAATAGCTGATCTACAATGACAATAAGCTCCTACAGTTACATTTATGTTGTAGGGTTACATGTTGTGGCAGAACGAAAAGTTCTGAATTGCTGTATGATGATTAAGTTGAATATATTAAACTATAAGACATGACAACTCTATTTCTTGCTTTTTCATTCTTTTTTCTTAAAAAGCCTCTCTTTTAATTATATGTTAAGACTGCAAAGTAGAGATGGGAAATGTCAGAATTAAGGTTGCCTTTGCGATATGATTCAATATCACAATCAGAATATATCATGGTCCAATCTTGTATAACATAATAATCTGTGGATTTTGGGTTTTTTTAACGTGCATTGCCTTGGACAGACGGATCAAGGAAAAGCCATCATTACTGAGAATGTCTCCTGTAAATCCCTGATTTCGTTTACTGCAAAAGGGGAAATATATGAAATGAGCAATAGTAGGCAAAGGACACCTGGAGAAGAATGCATAATCATAGTTCTAAAGCTGAAGTGATGTTCCTGTGTAGTTTGGGATAAGTCCTTTAGCATATGTACTTCCAAAATTGTGTGTTGCTCATATTATAAATATCCAGCTTGATATCTCAGCCCATAAGCAAAACTGAATTCAACAAGAACAGTGACTTGAAGACACTGAATACATTTGCCAAAATGCAAATTATACTGAAAAATTAGGTCCATGATACTTGAAAGTTAAGTAATTGATCATCTTAATCTGTCTCTTACTATTTCCCAGCTATCAAAATGGAATACTCCAAACTTCATCTCCTTGCATGAATGCTCTGAAGATGAAGTAGTTCATGCCTGCAGTAAGTACCAGTACTGGTGTAACAGCACAGCCTCCCAGGAAATTAGAAGTCTGTCTTTGTACCAAACAAAATAATGAAATGTCTGGATTATAACAAAATTGCATAACGACCAAATTCTTACCAAATGAATTATGTCAAATGCTGTTTTGAATAAGGTATACATTCTGTGGGAAGGAAGGCAAGATTTTGGAGTAAGTACATTTTATGGGAAGGAAGGCAAGATTTTGGAGTAACCAACTTCGTAACATGTACACACTTCCCAGGCAACATTTAATCTGGCATATTCCAAATTCTGTGTTATTGACTTTGCAGACATAACTTGCTTTAAATAAAAATGTCTTTGTTTATATACATGTGTTTTTCTTTCATAAGAACTTTTATTGTCTCTTTTGTATTTGTTTATATGCTCAATACATTAAAAGCTTCTTGACTTTTTTATTCTGTTGTTACAGCCTCCTTGTGGCACACCAGTAACAACTCTAGGAGTTAGAAAATGTGATTAAATAACACACAGAAGATGTCAAATGATACTGTTAGGATGATTGACTTCGAAATGCAAAATAAAGGCAATTGAGAGTGATTACTGGAGCTAATCATTTTAGGCTTGGCTCTGAAAAATGCACCTTCATTTACAATTGAAAACAATTGGTTTTTTTATTGTTTAGTGTTCATGTAGGTAGATTTAGCCTGTTGACTAGAATAGACATTGTTACATAAAAACTATCTTCAAAATTTACTCTTTACTAATATCTTGATGTTTGCAATATATATATACATTTAGATTCACAGGGGAAGTGATATGGCTCTCTTTAGTATTTCATGTATAAATTTACTCAGCACATTTGTTTTATTAAAATGTAAATAATGGGGTATGGTAAATGAGAAATCCAATATGGGAATAAACAGCTTATTTATTGTTAATGCTCAGAGTAGCTTATTGAAACACACCTTTCAGTAACTGCCACTGACTATTAGCTATGAAATTCTCATCATGCCTTGAATGTTACCCATTAGGTTTAGCCATTTGTACAGTTAAAAGGCTCAAGATGTTTCAAATATACCTTTGAAAACATTGTTAACTCAACTCAAACTGCACATATTCACAAAAACTACATTCAGCATGTCTGAGATTCAACCCAATACTGCTTCAAATTAATTATTCTTTAATTGCTTTGTATAAACAGAAATGACCTATTAATTTAAAGAAAATCTATCAGCACAGAATGTATTCTCTCTTATAAACAAGCAAGATGAACTTGACCTTGTTTGAACTTGTTTTGATGTGGCCCAGATGGTAGGCTACATGCTTGAATAGCAGTCTAAAGCTGAGGAAAAACTCATATAGCAAGATCTAGATTTATAGCCTTTTGCAAATTCCTACCTTGTATTGTCCTTTCAGCATCTGTTCTGCCCCCGCTGCGGTCAGCTTCTATCTCTGGGGTCAGAGAGTCTAGAAACATAGAAAGGTAAGACTGACACATATTTCATTTGATTCTTATAGCCTTTTTTACAACCTGTTACTCCAATGCTGAATTACAATACAATCAACCTTTGTCAGTTTTTTTAATGTTGAACAATGACTGGAGGCCAGGACAATTTTTTTGTTAGACTAGGAAGATTAATGAGCAATAGATTTTTCAAGCATAAAGGGGGGGAGAAAAAGAGGAAGAAAAAAAATTGACGTCTCAAGCTAATAATGTAAAATTGTCCTAGATTGAACATTCTCTCCAGTGAGTTTATTTGCACATTCTATATAAAGTAACAAAGCAATAAAGAGAGAGGTATCGCTTCAATGAAAAAAAGAAAAGATTTTTTTTCATCTCCCATCATGTTATAAATTGTCAATATAACAAGATTCTTTGGGCACTCAAATTGAAAGTTAATGACAAAGAGGCAAAGACTGGCTTCTTACCATTTAGGACCCTGAGACTATCTGTTGAAGCTGCCTGTTTCAGTGTTTGTTCTGCTTGCTCCCGTCGTTTAGTCTCAAATTCAAGTGCTTCCTGCAATTTCCTCTTTGCCTTCTTTTCCTTCTTTAGCCTTTTCTGAATTATTGCTAGGAAAAGAAAACAACATCAGTGTGCTCAGATTTGGATCTGAAACTTGGCTGCACAATTACCTACTAAGAGTCCTGAGAATAGCTATAACTGCAGCAGTTCATATAAATTGATTAATTACACAGTACCAATTTAAATTACTTGAAATTTGCTGGGATCACCCTGGGATATTTGAAGAGCTACTGTTCAATACAATGGTATTGAAAACTGTAGGTGATAATAAGCAACGGTATTATTTTTTCTTTATAAACAGCTGAGAATCTGTGAGTGCTCAAAACAGAAATCCTTGGTACCAGCAATGAAATGTACTTTTTGAATCATCTGATGTAGATAATCCTCTGTCTCTGGAGGTGAGTTGGAATTGCTTCCACCAGTTTGTTATTTCCCATAGCACACAGTTAATATACACATAGTGATGGAGTTCTCACCTGCCTGCAGCTTCTCTCCCACAACAAGGGGATCTGTCTGCTTGGATGCCTGGGCAGCTCCCACACTGCTGTGGTCCTCATTTCCTGGGGGAAGGCCCTGAGATTTCTAACTCCCTTCTAAGCTTCTGCTTTCTGCAAGCCACCCAAACTCTCAGTTCCCAGTTTCTTCCCCATATTTATTTCTTTTCCACATTCCTCTTGTTTTTTTTCCCTTTTCTCTTTCTTGCTTTCTGTTGGCTCTTGTCCCATCAGCCAACTAACCTTGAAGAACTCACAGCAAATCCTTTGTGGTGCTGGATCCCCCAGCAAAGTAAACATTACTGTGCTTTGTCAAATGTAAAGGAAAATAATAAGAAATTAGGAAGTATTTGAAAATTAAGCATAGAAAGCACTAATTTTGAAAAAAATGTTTTCCTTGTATTTCTTCAGTTTAACTGCAAGGTAAAGGATTGCAAATTCAGGATGAAACTTCATCACAATTTTCTTTTCTATGTTATCGGTGACTTGAAACCACAAAAAGTAAGACTTGCAGGATCAACCCAAGGAACATATCATAGGTTATGTACATGATGGAAAAGCATACCAATTTTTCTACCCTATAAAAGCCAAAGTAAGCCTCTGAAGGAATCATGTATCATGCATATCACTATCTCCCTCCACCACACTCCAACCTTTCATGAATAGCACATTTAGGTTTTTCAGAGTCATGCATGGAAAAAGCTTATTTGTCATAAGATCTTCCTGTCATAATCCTTTCCAGAAGATACTTTTATTTTGACACTAAAAACATATCTACAAAACTTCTCACTAAATAATTTTTACACACACTAAAAGAATTATCCTCACCAAACCCAAATACTAGGTGATGCTAAGTTTGTGTGCCAAGATTTATCTACTCCAAAGTAACCACTGGTACATGCCTAAGGATGAATGCTGGAAAATTTAAAAATATACTTTCACCAGTTTGTAGTCCCCATTTATACTAGTCTGTGATGGCAGTATCTTTCAAAAAATGCAAGTAATGAAACTTTTAAAGGGAAATATCATTGCTATTACTATTTAATTTATATGCTAAGAATAATCACTTTTGGGTGATCTTGGATATTTTGTGCTGTTATACAGAACTGTTCAGGCACAAAATTAACATGTGCACATATTCTGTAGTCGGAACAACTACATAATTTACATCCAAGACTTCGGAATTTTGGTTCTTTCTCATTTTGCACAGTACCAAGTACTTTACAGGCTAATTAGCTTATACTATCAAAGAACATCTAGCATCTATACAAAGGCTAAACTAAATACATTTTGAATCATTGCACGGTTTTAATGTTTTCATTATAAGTACTTTGAAAGTGATTGCAATAAATGAGAAGGAAACATATGTTGCTTTCTGAATTAAAATGTCATCATGGCTGACACATTGTAGATGTGACTGCAGCAGTCAGAGCCAGAATTAGCAAGCCCTTACTGCGTAGCTGCTCACAGAAGAGATATTATCCTACTTTCACCAGTTGATGAGACACATCCTACAGCCTTAGGAATCACTAATTGGAATATTTACAAAGGAAGGAAACAGTACAGTAAGGAAGCAGCCCTGTAGAACATACAGTAGCAGAAGGCAATTTAATTTCAAAAAAAGGTAAAAATATTCAGATGCAGCCACTAAATAAAATGATATTTGACTTGTGTTAACATGATAAACAAAAGATAGATAGATGTTGCCTAATGGTGAAGATTCCATTCACCAAAAGGGTTTTGACCTGTATGTGACACAGTGACTTGTGTTTCTATGCTGTAGCTTTTAAGTGTATTACAGTAGTTTTATATGGTATCGCTTCACTTAACAGGGATACGGTACATTTCTCCCATCTTCCTCATGCTTCCATGCCATTAAGACATATGAAAGTTTCTTTAAGACATGGTACTTGTTATCTGGAAAACTAAAAATAGGTAAAGGCTCCTATGCATTTTTCTGCCTTTAATGTAAGAATAAATTCTCACAATAATTACAATATGGCATTATTTTTTCCTCTTTACTTCAATCTGTTCATTTTAAAGAATAATCTATCACTTTTCTTTCTTTCGTGCCGAAGTATCCACTAGCAAAGATAGTAATCCTCATTATATTTGCTTTGCTGCATATCACCATTAAGTGTTCAAATCCATTCCTCTTTGGTCTGACTCTTTTCCCAGTGCAATATCATCAGTAGATGGTTACATGGATATACGTAAGCAGGTAATGCATCATGCTGCAAATAATATTGTCAGTTATTCCAGTACCCTGAACAAAATAAGGGACTATCACATGCTCTTACCTGACATATAACTTTGAGTGAAATTCATTTGGCTTAATTTTAACTGCTCAAAATGTGTCTAGTACAGTCTAGTCAACTATATACCCTCTGGATTTAAAGGGAAGACAAAGAAGTTGTCACAGCACAATTGTCCCCCCCTACCTACTAGAGAACAGGATATACAAATCTCCTTGTTGACCAGAAAAGGAACTTCTATTAATGTAAATGAGGTGCTTAACTTTTAGATGGCAAAACTCAAATAATGCCAGATGGGTCCCCCCCAACCTTTTCTATTGTGCATGTGACTATCTGACTCTAAAAAGGAATATACATCTGAGCAGTTACAAGAAGGATGTGAAGAATAGCCAAGCTATTTTATGAAATTACTTTAAAAGTTTAAGTAGTACAATTGGACTCAGCAGAATAGACCCTGTGGACAAAGGGATGATTCAGTGCACAGCTGTGGTAATTGTTAAGATCAACTCTCTTTAAAAATGTATTCTCAAAAGTTCAAAAAAGGGGTAATTAATGATGTGGTGGTCCTACCCTTTAATGGGTCAAGGCATGAAACAGCATTACATTTTGTTCTTACTGCTAGCATGTTAGTTAAGGGTATAATGATATTAGTTGTGAATCCAATTGTTCTTGGCATCTCCATTTAGCTGGTTCCCAGAAACTGGACAAGCAGAGAGTTGTAACTCTAGCCCAGCAAAAATACACATCTGACTTGTCACGATCCGAGTTAAACAGCAAGTGAGTCCCAGAGGTTAACTGTCCCTTGCAAAGTAATCAGACACCATTAAAGGGTGATACATACATAGACAGAAAAATGGACACATAATGAGGGGAACATGCTTACAATGCAAATGGTTAATGCAAATCATTGTAGACTGTCACACCTTTACTATCAATGAAATTTAAATTTAACATACATGTGCTTTCCAGTGCGTCGATGTTGATGTTAGAAATTCTACTATTACTACTGCTTTATCAAGAAGAACCTTAACTGTTCCTTCTACAAAAATGTATTATATCTACTATGAATTTTAAAGGGCTTACATATTACTATTATCTTTATTTACTACATACAGTTTGTCTAATAAAAGTTCCTAAAAAGTTGCAGATTCTTAAATTTTATACAAATTGTCTTTGTATTAAGTAGCTATCCTTTTTCATAATGATCACAACCTGCAGAAGTCCATAACAGCACCTATGATATTTATAATTGCTTTGTGTATTACTGATGTAACAAGCAATATTCAAGAAAAATACTGAGAAATAGGAAGGTACTTGTTCCAAGTCTCAGGAAGATCATATACAAAATCAGGCAGGTTATAAAACTTCCTGCATTACAGCCAGCCTAGGCATAATATGAGGTAAAAGGGTGTTTGATAAAAATTTATGTTTTCTAAGGAAATAAATTACAAGGTGTTTGTGCCTGCTTAATTCAGATACCTCTGTTCTTCTGCTCCACAGCCAACTGCTTTTCAAGTGTTTCCCTCAGTTCCCGTTCCCTGAAGAGCTCCATCTTCAGCTCTGTCTTTTCCAGTTGGACCTGTTTCTCTTGAGCTCTGGCATTGTCTATAGCAACCTTTAGTAGACCCTGTTCAAAGATAAAGTTGGAAGAATGTTAGAACAGCTAACTTCTGTTACTTTTCCTTGATAGTCAAGTGAGATTTTAGAAATAAAATAATCCTGTCATGCAATCAAAGCCTCACAATTACCAACAACAGTTTTTAACTAGAATAAATTTTAACAAGTGGGCAAAAATCTGTAAAAAGTTGGGATTCAGGTTTTCCCCAAAACACGAACACCTTTGAGTGTACATATAATTAATGTGAAAAACGTATAAGGACAAGTTTATTCCTTTTAAGAAAATTAAAAAAGAATTGGCAGTCTCACAATCACATCATACACAGAATTCCATCTCTAGTCCAACACAAGCTGGTGGAAATTAGCAAAGGAAGAAAGGCTCTTTTAAAATCCTGCCACTTCGCTCATCATTGCTAATTATTATTAATTTCAAATATTTTAAGATTTCAAAGAGTTTCCAAGCATGATAGGTATGTTGGGATGCTACATGAAGGACAGTCACAAACCAGGAAGATATCTGTTTTAAAAAGTCTGTTCCCTGACCTTGTTTAATTATTATCTCACAGCAGAGAACACAACACAACCATCTCCCAATTTCTTGACCTGAGATGGTAGAAATACTTTTTTTTTCTGTTGTTATTGTATCAGGAAATAATGATTCAGACTATTCTAAGCTTCTCCTGAGAATTTCAACTTCACATTTCCTTCTTCTTTTGCAAGGCAATAGGATGATCCTGGCACAGCTAATAGTGTATTATTAATAATAACAATAAGTAGATAGTTAGGACACTGAGACAGGGATGAAAATAGAAGGGGATAGGGAATCGTGATGAATGGACATGGAAATGTCCTTTTCCATTTTCTATAAGCCCAGACATTAGGCTCTTAGGCCTACATCTGAATGTCTCCCATCGAGACTATCATAACAGAGTAGATAATTAAGCATGTACATGCATATATGAACCTCCATGGATATGAACCTAACTCTCCTGTATCCTAGGCAGACTTCTGACAACTAAACCACTGAGAGAATTTGACTTAACAGAGATATAATTGCTGATATAAACAAAACAATACCAACAAGAGAGACTGAAGCATTCAGCTAACAGAGACTTGGTTTGAGTGCTACAGACATGAAATCGTGATCCCCCACTCCCAAATAAGCTTCCTCACCCCTCAGTCACACTTTCTATATTGGATTCCAAGTTGCATGTTTTTTCACTAATATTTTATTTTAAACATCTTCAGAAAAAAAGACTGGAAAAAGCAAGCAGCATGATGATACATGAGGACTGGAAGAAGTATTTTTTATGAGTGCTAGTCTGCACATTTATCTCACTAGTCTTCCCAGTGTCAATGACTGCTTTTAATTGTGTGTCCTTCAATCTCCTCTTTTAAGTCTGTTTTCAGAACCTGTTATTTTTCAGTACTCCTGATCTTCCTTCTTAATTAGATTGCTGCCTCAAATGTTCTTATTCAGAGCTTAATGCTTTGCAGCTCTATTACATTTCAACCTATTAAAGTCCACAGAAGCTGAAAGAGCTCAACACCTTCTGACTACAAGGCCCAGATGGCCACCAAAATGATATACACAAGTACAGAACCATGTTTGGAACTATGGTAACACAACAAATGTCCTTACAAATATGTTTTAAGTTTTAGCAGTTTTCTTTATCTATTGTAAAATAGATAAATCACAAAGGTATGTTGCATAGAATTTTGAACCTGAATGACTACTAAAGAAAAAAACAGAAAGCTAAATATAAAGCTCTATGTAAACATGCAAAGCACAATACATTTTAAAATATTGTAAAGCCTTTCCAATCTGATTTTTAGAAGCTAGTATTCATCAGAATTCTGCCCCTCTCATCCCCCCTACAATCCTCCTGCATTTGATGCATTTGGAATAGTAAGAAAGGTGTTGTTTATCAATACCTTCTTCCGGCTTATGCTTAAACTCTAGAATGTTTTAATCTCCTCCAATTCATCACTTACTGATTCATCCAAACCATTAATAAACCAGACCAAGTGAAACTGCATGAAAAGTATTTCTTGGTGAAAAGCGTATTGTCTAGTAAGTTGAAAGCTGCTAACACCCTCCTCCCAAATTCTTACAATCCATCTTGTTTAACAATAAAATCGAGCTGCTAAAGCAACTGCCATCTTTACTCAATTCTACTACATTCATGTACATGTTTCTTCTTCATCAGGAACAAACAATTAGTAACAAATGAAAGAGATCATTACATCAAGTGCCCTTTTAGATCACCCCAATTAAAACTTTAGTTTAGCTGTATTTTAATTCTAAGATACCAAATTCTAATTTTCTGCTCTGATTGCTCTTGTTGACTTATCTTTGAAAGATGTACTCTCAGTGCAAAGCCTCAAGATTATTTAGCAAGATGCCAATGTTGGCACCACTTAATGTGTTGATTGGTTGTATTATCAGTAGCAGTTTAAAATAAATTACTATTAAACTATTATTGTCCTTGGCTGACAAAACACAATATTTTGGTGTTCTTTAAATATGAAACAATCATTATGAATAAACATGGAAAATAATGCTAAAGTGCAACACTGATGTGTGTAATTTTATATTAAGAATTACTGCAAAGTACGAAGCTGCTAAAAGCATATTACATTTTCTATTGAATTTCTGCACCACACTTCCTCCCCCAGCCTTTCCTTTTTTTATACTTGCTAACATAGCTAATGGTAATACATTACCTATTGCTGCTGATTATGTCTGAAAAATATTAGCTTTTTGGAGCCAAGACCCACTAGGGACTACTTATAAGCTACACAAAATTAAGTTTCATTTTTAGAAGTTAAATCAGTGCACATCAGTAGGCATCCAATATGAAAAAAATCTGCACTAGAGCCAAACTGATACATATCAGAAGTGCTGTTGCTGCCAATGACAGCTATAATGCAAAAATACTGGAAACATTCAATATCTGCCTTTATGCAATGCAGAAAGGGAGTAGAAAAATTAAAAAGTACAGCATCTAAAAAATCATCAGTGCCCCTTGGAACAGGAATAGCAATTTCAGAGTTGCATGAAATTCTATTAATTCTCCCAGTGGATCAGCTGTAAAAGATTATACAAAATACAGTATGTCCAACTTGTATGTGCTATGGCTAATCCTCTAACCTGATATTAAATCAATATGCTGCCAATGACAATGGGAAATGCAGTGCAACACAGGACATTAACAAAAAGAAAATATTTCCCTTTAGGGAAGGTCAGATGTTACGGAGGCTGGATAACGATAATTGTAGTGAACATGCTCAGGTTCCAGATTTCTTTTTAATACAGTATGGCTCTATCTTGAGCCAGGCTTTAAGCATGTCATGCCATTCTTCCCCTCAGTGTCGCTCTTAATAATTTTTCTTTCAATGTAATGTCAAAAATGGACATTTTTTCTCTGGAGATTTGTAGGTCATTATGATTTGGTTTACTTACTTTACTGTACTTGTTTTAATATTTTACACTGATAAATTCTTCAAAAATGTTCAGATACAAAGTTAAGTTGATATATGAGTTTCTTCCCATTCTCTGATGTATCTAAAACCACCATCATGTTAAGGAAGTCTAATTCTCCTACTGAAATTAAACGTATCTCAAATCTCAACTCAGTCTTAAAGTTATTACTACCCATCATTATTTTTAAATTATTCTAATAATGTGTTGTCTACTTTGAAAGGGGTGGAGGGAAAGGTATATAGAAGATCCTTCTCCTTCTAGATGCATCTACAGTGTGTGTTTCACCTAACAGAATTTAGTTAGCTACACATTTATATGACATCTAAATGACCTTTCTAATTAGTCAGATGGTATATCTAGAAGATCAAATACTGTTTCCAACAATTGCCCACATTGGGTGAAAAGGGAAACTAGAAGAACAAGGTATGCACACAGTGAAGCTTTCCTAGTCAAAACTCCTAGCTTCCAGAAGGTTGTAGCTGAGGGGTTTCCTTTCACAATATTAGCTATTCATGGTGAAAACACACTCAAATAACATTGCTTCTCTTTTAGTCAGGAAAATATATACAATTTGTATGCTCTCATCATTAAAACTATCTAGTGAAAGGCTTTGCAAAAAAATATAAACATATACATATTTTAGTTAACTCCACAGGTTAATTTTTGAACATCTGCTATTTGTAACTGACCACTAACTAAATAGCATAAGCAGGTAAGACCCCATAGCTTGAATATCTCTACAGATGACTCCTGAAAGACAATTCTGTAATATCTCAGATTGAGTATCTCCACCACAGATAAAGACATACTGCAGAACTATAAATTACATACTTTCTGTGAAAAAAACAAAAATCTCTTGGATTTTAGCAGAAGATACATAACATAAAATAAATCTGTGATTTTTACTTTTTCCAGTGTTTGCAGTAATTTTCTCTTGTGTATTTGTCATAGATGGCAACACTGCAGGAGGCTCAAAGCAATAAAGCAGTAGTTTGCTTTTTTTTCATAGGGGAATTTAGGTTGTAATCATGCATTTCTTTTCTTAATGCCAATGGGATACTTGCAACTTATTTTACATATATTTTTAAAGATACTTAACAACACAACTGTGTCAATACAATACAGTCTTCATAGAAAAAAACAGCTATCAGGGTGCAGCTAATTAATCCCTTAGATATTAATGGAAATTCAGCTCAGGGATAGTAAAGATTCAGATTCTAAAAGCTTAAAAGACCATTACTATTACCCAAGAATATTGCAGTATCATGAAAGGCCACGGCTGTAACATACTTTGGCATAATCGGGCCATGACTCAAAAAGGTGAACTTATGTGAGGGGTACAGAAACATGTTTAGCCTTCTCACTAGCACACACAGCATTTTGCTGTGACTCACCTTCCCTCACCCTTCATCCTCCCTGCAGCTGCACATAGACTTACAGCATTTAATGTGGAAGAAATCAACAAATACACATTGGGAAGAAACAGGCATATCACTTAATTTAAGTTCTCTGGGGAAATATATTTTATCTTCTTTTTAGATGTGCAGATATACCTTCAAATAAGAAAATATGTCCTCAGTCTTATTCTTTTATCTTATGTGTGTATTAGTTTAATTATATTTTGGCACCGTTTATTATTTCTATTTCAGCAGTACCCAGCAAGAACAACGTTGTTTTTTCTGGGGACAGTATATTGTTATTATCTTCTCCTTTAATGTACAAATAATTAAACATTGTACTTTGTTTAAATAAGAATTTATGTATTTGTAAGAAAAATAAATATGTGATATACAGAAGGAAATAAACCTAACTAGCAGCCCGTAGACAGCGATAGCAAATAGGCTTGCCTAATATTTGCCTAAAATTATGAATTAGTGATGAGGGGCTATCCATTTAACTTTAGTGTGCACGGAAGAAACAGACTCGCTTGTGTTCAGTGTCTAGTTTTAAAGGATGACTCAGGCTTCTAAAATGGAACTAGGGTTAGGCAACAAGTCCACCTGAGATCTTCAGCATCTGCAAGACAACAGATTTGTTTTCAAACAAGCAAAGTGTTTAGAAATTTTTCTCCTAGTGCCCATCCAGTACCCTAATCCTGTTCTATTTTAAATCAGGACAGACTCTATAACTTCTTCTGGAGGTCCTTGCAGTCTATATCACGCAGATAATTCAGATCCTGCACTTCACAAACTGAATATACAGAAGGGGATCACAGCAGAGATATCCACCATCATGTCCATGCACATTGGTGGAGCCAGAAGCTGCTTGCCTATATATTCCTGTGACCATCATATCCCTAAATGGTTGGCAACCTCCAGCACCACGTGGCATGTCATGCATGCTCCCCAGACCCATGACCTAACAAAAACATACACTTGCATTTCACAAGCAGACATATACCCTTTCTGTGAGAGGACACATCCATATTTTAATCATGCATGACCTCAGGCCAAAAAGAAGAGTGTTTATCCAATCCACTCATCTAGCTTTTAGCTAGATCTCTGGTATTTTCTGTTTCAAAAGCACCTTAGTACTGAAGGCAGGGAACAGACAGTAGGCCAGATGATCTTTTTGAGAAAGTTAGACCTTAGCCACTGCTAGCACAGCTGCAACAACAGAATGCTAAAGGATTGAATTGTTCCACCTCCCCTTTGAATCCACACCTCTACTGAAAGGGACACAAAATTCATCTGGTCCAAAGGAGAACAAAGAGGAATTTACTCAGTGCCAAGAGTCCTACTAACTTGTACTAAATGCATCATGGGTTTCAGGTAGTGCTTATGCATTTTGTAGCAAAGTCACAAATGACACTGCAAGCAGGGACCATGGTACAGAATTTCCTCTTTCCACAGATGCCATTAGCAAATTTGACCTTGTAGTCAAATACCTAAAACTCAGTTCTGAAAGGGTCAGCATCATGGTATTTAAACTCATTTGTGGGCATGAGGTAGCCCCTTCTCATTGCAATAGTAGCCATATATGGAAGCCATTTTAAATGTCATTGATTTGCAAAATCGCCACTATTGTACATAGATTATTGTAATATACACTCCTGTTTTAAAGACAATAGTTAACTTGTCCTAAACAGATGGGAAAGTTAAACTAATTTTTTTCTTTAATTCAGTGTTTTTTTAATGTAGTCCTGATAGAGATTTAATCGGGGTCAGACAGGGGATGAGGGAGCAGGGGAGGATGCCTTGATGGTTTAGGAAGGGATTCCTAAAGATATCTGGAAACCATGTAATGTGATGTAGGTACATACAGAAAAAATCCAAAAGAACTTATGTCACACCAGTTTACCCTGATAGATGATTTGTGATAAATAGATGTGGAACCTGAAGGTAAGGAGAAGTATGTATAAAAGCTCAATGAATGCATAAAAAAGTCACTGGTTTCTTCACAATGTTGTCTCTTATTTTAGCTTTGCACTCCAGTTAAGATTTTTTATAAGAATGGTGGAATTTCACATTCACATTTTCTGTAAAACAAAACTGATCACATTCTTGGCAAATTAATCCTGGTCATTTATCCTGAAGTAGTGCAGCACTCTCACATTCAATCACAAGATTAGCTAACCTGTTGATGCTGAAGGCTTTGCTCATTAAGTTGCTGTCTGGAGACACTGAGTGCACACATTTGTCAAAAAAATTACTAAGAATTTTCTGTACATGCATGCACAGCTAAAACATTACATACTTTGCTACCTGCGTTTCTACCTTTAGAAAAAACACTTTCTTTACAGATTGCAGCAGATATGTTAGAAAAATGGTGACTGTTGTCAAATTACCTTGGTTCATGATTTAAATATTTAAGAAGCTAGGTATCAGAATTACAAAAAGCAAACATAAAGATGCTCTTTCAGACCAGGCAGATATAGCAATACTTAATCCTTAAAGAGCAGTATTTTTCCATTATTAGATCTCAAAACATGACCAATGAATGGATCATATACTTTTCATAAAACAATTTTGAAGTGCCATAAACTTTAATGAGATTGCTTAAGAAAGTAAAGTGAGCAGGATTTGGCCTGATTTTATGTATTTGCAGGAACGAGTAGGGAAAAATATGGTGACAAATACATTAGAAGTTAGTAGCTGCCCAGATGAGGCTTATTTGGAATGAGTACAATATGGCTGCAATATTTCTGGCACTATCATTCTGCTTCTGCCTGTAACATAGAACCACATTGTTGCAAAATTTGCATGTGGGGAACACATGATCACTGAATTTGTGGACAAAATAAAATTATTTTAGCAGGAAACACTAATGACTTGGCTTCAAGCTACATACTAGTGTATACTTTCATATTTGAATTGGGCTCTACTGTACACACAACAGACATCATGACTACCGAATAGGAAATCTGCATAAAATTTGGTAATACCCTTTGAAGTCAATTCTTTGAAGACAGTACTTTAAGTGAAATGAGCTTATTTATAAAAGAAGTGCTTTTCATAAATGCTTTTATAGGAGACACATTTCAAATATCTTTAAATATCATTTCCACCGTGGCACTCCAGCAATTCAAAATAACTATTTATTAAAGAACTGTTCTTCTGTTTAGTAAATGAGATAAAGTTAAACAGTAAGATACATTTCATTAGCCTGTAATAAAAAGAGCATTGAAGACAAATGTTGTTAAACACACCAATGTAATTTACATTGAATTTTCTGCTCTGGTTTAATATACAATCTGTATTTTTATGTACTGTATCTGACAGCTTCTAAATTCATTTGTTTGCTGTGGTTCCTTTAAAATCTAAATTACTACCAAGTTTCAGTAAATTAGTTGATCCAAATAATCTTATGAACTGATTAAGCTAGAATGGTTTTATTAATTTAGACAAATCTGCAACTGGCTCCTCTCCATCCCTTTAAGCTGATCTACAAAAAGTCCTACCTGGATGTTAGTCAGAAGGGTCTCTATGGAGGACAATCCATCAGGGAATAGAAAAGGAGATGGAAAACCTGGAGGTAGTGGTTGCCCATGCCCAGTTAGAGAAAGTTTGTCAAGGCTGTCTCTTGCGGTTGGTGTGGAGAGCGGGGTCTCATCTGTATGTGATTGAAACAAAAATATAGAACAAGTTACGCTTGTCTGTTTTTATTAGACCTCAGTAATGGCTTCCCTAGTGGTTTCCAGAACATTTATTGCAAATTGGTTCCTGCTATCAGGAGAAAATGCTTTCTGCTGAATTTTCTTTAATGAAAAAGCTGTGGAGATACAACAAGATAACATTAATGAGTAACTTTATAAGCCTTTTAAATGCAGTCTCTAATGAGACTGAGTTTACAGTGCCATAGAATCTTTTTAAAACAAATATTATCTCACATATACTTGTGATAATATATTCTGGATGACTTTATGGGCACCTTCCCAATTATCTCATTTTAGTTCGTGTTCTATTTGGATTGACAATAGAAGATTTTCTAGCACAACATATATTTTGTATATGAGAAGTATTTGAATACGAGGCTTCCCATAAAATTAACCCTTCCCACTCATAATGGTTTCTCTTACAGCTCAGAAGATTTTGCAGCACCAAGAAAAACTACAGCTCCTCAATACATTTTTTCATCAAGAAAGTACACCTGATTCCCACAATTAAAACATGCTCTGAACAATACATGAAATTAACAGCATGGTAACAATCACTGGCCTAATTTTTTTAAGCTCAGACATCTTCTAACAATTAGTGCTAAACTCCTTAGTGGGATCTTTGTAACAATCAGATCTGATCAGTTCTGACATCACAACGGGAAAAAACTCCCACAGCTTGAAGACTTCGAAGATTAAAGTTTCACAGATTATCTGTGATCAGATTAAGAAGTGAAAAAAAGAAAAAAAACCCCACAATTAATAGAAACTTCAATACCCTGGTGGGGTTTTTTTTTTTACTTTCTGAAATATTTTTAGACTACTGTTGATATGATATGGAAATTTAGGTCAATTTATTTGCACCAGATGTTAATCTGTATTATTGAAAAGGAAAACTATCTATACATATATATAGATACATATATATAGATACACATATCTACACATACTTCTCTTACCAAGGGCACAGTCATTAACTGATGTACCTCAGTACATTACAAGGACATCAAAATGTACTCTAGGTATTATGCAGATCTCAGAGCAGCTATTTGACTACAAAAGAGTTTGTCATACTTGGTCTTTTCCATTTGGGCTTTGATCATTGTAAACTATATAGGTTTTGGGTTAGTTTGATTTCTATATATTTAGTTAGTTATAGTTTCGATAATAATTGTGTTTCTCTATTTATTCAGTTATGTGCATTAGAATTGTATAAAAAAGTTGATCCTAGTTTCCTAAAAAAGAGCTCTCTCTTGGACTGAGTGCAGTATTTTCCTAAGTGGACATAGTCTAGAATCATGAAAATCAAAATCTGCAGTAACAAAGGGGTTAGAATGTAGGCTTTGATGAACTCAGGATCAGAAAAGCATAACTCGAAGTCCCAGTTAATTCCAACAGTCCCCATCACCATTACTCCAGAAGGAAGCAATCTGTCTCAATGATACTCAGCTGCAGATTTCTTGTCCCATCTCCTCACCAGCTCTGTCATGCTTGCCAGCATTTACAGTGATAAACCTCTCTCTCCCACTATGTCCTTCCACAGAAATACCTGAACAGGCATTAGGACATCCCCTTTGCTGGTGTGACTTAGTTCCTTCTATACCCAGTGGAAAGAAGCGGACACCACTTTAAGGTATTAATACATCTGCACAGGCACCTACTGCAGGAAGAGGGAGATCTTCCTCCAGAAGTGTCTGTTGACTGTAAGAGAAGCCTAAGATGACTAGCTCAGATGGCAAGATCTGTTTTTTCAGCTATATTTAAGTTTGCCAGTCACGTCACAAAGCGCTGAGAAAAAAATGGCGCTGGATTACCGAACAATTTCCTACCCACCTTACTGAGATTCAAAGCAGGCTCTGAAAAATATACAGATGGATCTTCTGTCCTTATGCTACCCCACAGCAGCATGGATAGCTCTGTAGTAATTTTTTAGTGACATACTAAAATTTTGCCCTAAATATGTTTTTTTCCCTACCAACTTTTAATATATTACAGAAATATTCACCATTTCATTAGAAAAAATAAATTAGGTATGACTGGGTACTGAAAACTATTTTGTTGTTTTCAGATCACCCTGCTAGTTCAATTTGTCAAATCCTATTCTAGTGTGAAAAATCATTACCAAATGTTTTTTTTCCAAACTGCTGTCAGAATAGTTATGCTTTCATTAACAAAAAGAAACAACCTGAAAGTTAAACAAAACTGATTAAACAATAGATTAATAAACACTACACAATATTATTGCATAGCTGAAAACCTTTTTTTTTTCTCTGCTGCAAATATAGCTTTTCCAAATGATTTCTACCCAACAATAAATAAAAAATGAAAGAAATCAAAAAATTAAAAATCCTCTTCTCTGTTACATCACTGAGTTTTTTTGGCTAGAGATTTCTCTACATCAGTGGTTTCAATGAAGGTATTGCTCTTTCATGGTATAGCAACAGTCAAATCACTAGTATGCATGGTGAAGTTAATTCATATAAATCAGAAAGGAAGCTGAAAAGAAAAAATTTTCCTCTAGATTTGTCAGAAAAATGGACCACTGACTTCTTATATTTTCTAGGACTACTTGGAATCTTACTAATAAATTAGGACTAAAATTGTCAAAATATTTTAAAATACACTAGATAAAACTGACCCACTTAAAAATTCTATAAGCCTTAATTTACTCAAAAGCTGCTATCTCAAAGCAATTGTTGAGATACAGAAAGCTCCTAACACAAGTCTTGTCATAGAATTTAAACAAGGGGTCACATTTTTTTACTGTATTACTACCTTACAATTTATTTAATATTAAGCCTGCTGTACTTCGTGCATGCTCAAAGCATGTGAAGTTTGCAAAGATTTTTTTAACAATGTGTGGCATGGTTTTGCAATAGGCAAAGTAACTCAAAAAAAGTTAAATGGTATTGACTGAAAATAACATCCAAACTCTTGTGTTATAATAAATAACAGAAACAAATTTACACTGAAGGGTAAGACTAGAGAGATGAACTTACAGTGAACTTATTTTAATACAACGTCAGCTCAGAAAAAAAGTCAGACTAATGTGACTTTGTTTTCTTGATGTCCCATGTGAAATAAACTTTGAGTGTGAGTATGTTTGAAACAGAGCAAATGTACATATTATACACAGGAAGCATGGATATTTGTGGATGTGAGATAAGCAATGATTGAGGGAATCTTGAAAAAATGCATTTTTAAGAAAAACCACATTGTAAACACAGCCAATTAAAACATAACTGCATATCTTAGTAGCAAAACAATATGACCTCTTGCCTTTAAAACATTCCTGCAGAAGTCCTCTTTTCTCAATAGGATGAGATATCTTTGTTTCCAAATAATCATTAGCCTAACATCTTTTAAACTGCTGGAAAGGAACTATTAACATTTCTGTTAACCTACTAGCAAAGCAATGCTGCAAAAATGATGAGCCCTTGCTGGGAAACAGAGATTTGGCATTTTCAGTGTGAACACACCAAAGGAAGCGTTGGAAGACAAGTCAGGGCAAAAGGGGAAAGAGGGTCAATCTACAACTCCATTGTCAAAGTGGGGAGCACAACAATGAAAAGAATAGGGGAGAATAAGAAAGAACAAGGCAGAACAAAGAAGTGTCTGGGTCTGCCTTGGCTTGTGCTGGGAACTGAAATGTTATAAATTAACAAATAAACAAGGATAGGACAAGCTGTTACCCAAGCCTCTACAGTATCTCAGCAGAGATGAATATGTGTCTTGACATATGACTAAATCACCATAATAGGCAAGTCTGAATGTGACACATATCTTTAAAATATTTGTAAATGCTGCAACCACTCCATCCATTGTTCCTCAATTTCCAAAATTCACCTGGTTTTGTTCAAACCAGATTTTATCTGTAAACAGCAGCTGGTTTGGGCCAAATACAACAGACATATTTCACTGTATTTGGTTTGTTGCCATTCTATTTTATTCTTTCACCAGATAACATGGAAACAGACATCCTGAAGGCTGTGACAGCTATTTAAACAATAATAGATGAATAGAGGTAGCCATTCTCGTCTTTGTTCCTAAAAGCAAGTAGGATAAGTTCAGATCGGTCACCAATCAAACAGGTATTGCCAGAATTTGAAGGCAAGCAATAATAGCTGGCTCAAATAAAAATACTATACGGATTACTGCCAGTCTGTAATCATTTGATGTTTTTATGTAATGCATCTTGATGCTTTCCTGTTCTCTGCAAAGTATTTCACATATATTTGTTCCTAGCGCAAGCTCACTCTTACCGTTTGAATGATGAAAGAGGATTCTGTTTCCACTTTCTATCACCATAAATCTGGCGCATACATTTTTGTAGAAACAATCTATTCTATTCGGCTTTATATGATTTTGGTTTATATTGTCAAACACTCTTTAACACGAAGTTTTGTTTCACCTTCCCCAGAGTTAGAGGTTTCAAGTGTGAGAAGCTGCTCTTCTATTTTAATTCATCTGTAATTGTTGATTTATATCAACTCAAAAGAACAGGGGGTCCCATGTCCTGAACTGAAATGTTTACTAACTTCAGGCAGATTTAAAATGTAAAAATAAATAAAATCCTCTTGCTCAATTCTTGCATCATTTTGCCACTTTTTCGATTTGGTCATTCAAGGTTCACCGTGCACATAGCTGGGGGCACATGAGATGACTGTGAAGGATGATATGAACTGTAAAAGGAATTAACTGAAACTAACTCTTACAAAACCTTTTTTTTCTTAATCTACAGTTTACTTTACAGTTCTCCAGGACACCCAAATACCCTGAAATGAAAACATTTGCAACTGTGACAGCTGGAAACCAGGGGGGGAATATCTAATATTCAAATAGACCGACTCACTGGTTGTTGTTTCTGTAACATTTCAAAGGGGCTGATGCTGTCACAGTTAACGGTACCATTGCAAATGTTGCCCACTGAGTTCTGATTCTTGGGTTGGTATGTTTG